TATTATTCTTTAAGCACTTAAATGAATTTTAGCATATTATTTTACATTATTTATACACATATGCTGGATTTACTAGTTTCCTTGCATAGATAGGTGCAAGAAAATATATGTGAGGAAAATATTCTTTTTGGTCTATTTGCTTTGCATTCTTTCAGGTTGACTTTAATACTTTCCTGTCCAATGGATCTCAAAAATTTCCCAATGGATGTCCAGACCTGTATAATGCAGCTGGAAAGCTGTAAGTATAAAATTAATCAATTCACAAAAAAGTCATGTGATACATTAACTACTACTATTTGTGATAATATGAACTTTCAAGTGCAGGAAGTTTCTTTTTCCATGTTCAGATTATTCTTCTACAGCTCCCAGGATTCCAAGCCAGAGAGGTAGGGAATTTGGTAAGCTGAAGTCTCAGTGCATTTAGTGGTCACTCAGTTGGGGAATAATGATTGGAAGGACCAAACATTAGAGACTGCATAACATTAGTAGAGAAGAATGTTTCCTAACACTGAATGTCCCCATTGGTTATAGGGAACTCATTAGTTAGGGAGCAGAAATATAAATTATTCAGTTGTTGATCATTTTTATAAGCTACTGTCTAGATATATTATCTTATATATCAGAACAATACATCTTGATTACGAACACTAACCACAATAGCATACAATTTTGTAGTAGGGTCTATAAATTAGAAATGGAAATACATAAATATCACTGATTAAATTAGGGAGGAAAGTAGTATGAAAATATAAGTATTAGAGAACTGAAGAGTGAAATGCTTAAGACTAAATCCCTACATTACTTGGCAAAGGTATGACATTGGCTGAACAGCACCACATGGTTCACAGCTTCTACTGCTCTTGAATAGCAGGGACAAAGTCTCTCTGTGTAGTGAATACACTGATATCTTCTTCCCAGTAAGGCTGAAGACAATGTGTTAAAACATTATATGCATTGTTTTCTGTTTAGCAACTTCTTTAGCTTTGGGAAAACCCAATGAATGCAAGGCTGTTATAGATGAGCTAATATTTTGGCATTTCACCTTCAAAATCTTCTTCCAAGTTGAGTAACTTATCTAATAGTGTCAATGGGTCTAGGACTTCATGGAAGAATGCCAATTTAACCAGCATGTGCTCTTATCCAAACTCATGCTTATGCCAAATGATGTCTTGACCTTTTTGCTAAGATCAAGTATGGCATCTCCTCTTATTAATTTAAAACTTGTGGAGAAGAGTGACATGAGATGTTCATGTATGCCCAATTAATGAAATGTTAGCATACCTGTCTTGCAGCAATGCAGACAGAAGGATGTTATGCCTGTTGTTGTTGTTGTTGTTCAGTCGTTAAGTCATGTCCGACTCTTCGTGACCCCATGAACCATATTGCGCC